AGTGGCATTTTGGGTCCCAAAGTAAAACTGGGGATATTACAGATCTGGTCACCAAGCTAGTAGTCAGCCTGGTTTGCGGCCTCCCTGGGCGCATGACTTTTCCTACTGCTGCAGCTCTGGGAGTAGCCCTTTTCCAGCTTCCTTTCATGGGAGAGGAAGCCCCTGAAATTTCCCATTTCCTGGGAGTGAGGTAAGTTACCCTTCAGGAACTGACTTCCTGGACATCATTGCTGCTTCTAGAGCTGTAACCCAGCAGATACCTGGTATCAGCATTCTTGTTTTACCCAGATAATTATCTTGTTTTTGAGCTCAGTTGGCTTTGGGGTTCTATTTACATAGTTTGGTTATTATTAATATGTGTTGGGGCATGGCTTGTCAAAATGTAAACCAACTATTCTGTCTTCATCAGTTCGATTGAAACTCTTTAAAGCTTGCTTTTCTCATAATAATAGATAATTATTTTATGTTTTTTAAGATTTTATTTCTTTAAGTAATCTCTATATCCAAAGTGGGGCTCAAACTTACAACCCCAAGATCAAGAGTCGCATGCTCCGCTGACTGAGCCAGCCAGGCATCCCAGTAATAATAATTTTAGAAAACAACCTGATAAGAACGTATTAAACACTTCATCAAGATAAACTCATTTAATCCTTCCCAAAACTTTGATTTTATAGAAGAGGAAAGTGAGAAATGGGGAGGTTTCATAACTTGTCCTGGATCACACCACTAATAGGTGACAGAGCAAGGATTCTAAACGAAATAACTTGGCTCTGTAGTCTATCCTCCTAACCACTATCATGTACTCTTCCACCTATCAGTTGGGGAAAATCATACCTTTTCACAGACTTGTTTGTTACAAAGTAAGATAAGATGTGAAAAGTCTAGTGTTGTATCTGATGCATAATAGACATTCAGTGAACGTTTCTTTTTCTTTCCTTAGTGGCAGGCGAGTATATTTTCAGTATGATAATTTAAACAAAACCTGTACGTTTATTTTGTTTAAAATATAGCATGTTTCATTTTAGTAAGAAGGGTAGGAATTCTATTATTGGACTAATTTTCTTGTGTGGCTATGGGGGCAGGACTAGCCTGGGAGAGATGCAGAACTAGGAAGCTAGGGAATCAGAGAAATAGGGTCCAGTGCAAAGTCCAAATTGAAAACTAGACAACTGGGGCACCTGGGTGGCTCAGTCGATAAGCGTCTGCCTTCGGCTCAGGTCATGATCCCAGGGTCCAGGGATCCAGCCCCACACTGGGCTCCCTGCTCAGCGGGAAACCTGCTTCTCCCTCTCCTACTCACCCTGCTGTGTTCCCTCTCTCGCTGTGTCTCTCTCTGTCAAATAAATAAATAAAATCTTAAAAAAAACAAAGAAAGGAAACAGACAACTGAAGCGTTCTGCAGAAAAGCCCTCATGATCCTAGGGAATTCAGAGCAGAGGACCGTGTGGACTAGATGGGAGGAGCTGGTGCCTTGACGGTTTCCCAGAGCTCCTGAGGTTCCTGGATCCTTGGCAGTGGGCCAGAGAGGACTCTGGCGAGGGCACTTTGCCAGCCTTTTCCTTGTTGAGTACTCTCTAACCTTTGTTTTCAAATTCCCCAAATTAACAAGGAGCATTTAGTCTTAGTATGTAACACTTAAGGGAATAAATAGGTCTGGTTAACTATTTATAATTACAATAGCCAAAAATCTAAATTAGGGAATTGCCTCTGGGGCCTTAAACTGTTTCCTCAGTCATCTCATCTCCTGCTCCCTCAAGACCACACTTGTGGGCCCTCCACCATTCTGCCTGCACGTCCTCCAGGTCCAGTCCAGAGTCCACCCTGTCCATGGCACCATACTGACCCCCTGTACACCTTGTGCCTAGTAGTTCCTTGAAGTACATTAGAGGCTATGAGAAAGGAAAGGTCCTTGTGAGATGTAATTGGAGGCAGTTTTACTAATTTGTTTGAATAGGGTAAGTGCGGAGATCATAAACAAATGCTTAGTTGGGAATATGGAGAGAGTGTGTATGTGGCGTGCGTGTGTGTGTGGCGCGTGTGTTAGAATGCGAACCAGCGAAGTGCACAACCTTACTATAATAGAGTCTGTAGAAATGTGGAAAAAATTTTAAGGTTAGAATCAAGCTGGAATATTTGATTAAGATGGAAAAGGAATTAGATCAAGATTTGTTAACAGTCACGAGCCCTTGTAAGTTCAGGCAAGGAAGGATGATGCGTGGTGAGGTGGCCTGCTCTTGTCTCAGACCTGCCTGCCCTTTTCAGATTGGTTGGTTTTGCTAGAACCTCTGTGTGCCAGGTCAGGGAGGCTCAGGAGAGGCTCACAGACAGTGTTGAGGAGCATTACTGAGCTAGTATTTATTGTACTCGTGTTTCAGTGCACTTGAAAGGAAAATAAGGAAATAGGAAAATACCTCTTATCTCTTACAGTTCCTTTTTCTCCTTAGTTTTTCTATATAGTGAATCCCTACAGGAGACTTGACCTTAGACTAGCATTTTCTATAGGCCAGTCCTACATTGCCAATGGTCCTGTGGTGGGGAGGAGAATAGGTAAATGAAATCTACATGTAATCTTAGATCAAGTAGTTTTTACTTTATTCACTTCTGTGACTCCAGTTTTTTTTGGATGATTAGATCACAAAAGATGACTTTTGCTTTGATTTTCTTTTTTTTTTTCTTTCCCCTGCTCACCCACTGTGGAGTACATTAACCCAGACATACTTAAAAGACTGTGAAGAATGAGCAAAGGAAGACCATAATCTGTAACTGTATCATCAGCACTTAACAGCTCTGGGAAATTTGGATTTCAGTTTTTGATTGGGTAACTGTGGGAGGATTATACCAAACTGGCAATGTTAATAATAAACTAGAAAATGATTCCATGAAATTCAATGCATTTATCTTAATTTTTTTTTTTAAGATTTTATTTATTTGACAAAGAGAAAGCGAGAGAGGGAACACAAGCAGGGGGAGTGTGAGAGGGAGAAGCAGGCTTCCCGCTGAGCAGGGAGCCTGATGCGGGGCTTGATCCCAGGAGCCTGAGATCAGGACCTGAGCCAAAGGCAGATGCTTAATGACTGAACCATCCAGGCGCCCCTATCTTAATTTTTAGAAGATAAAAATCCAGTGATGGAAGTAACTTCAGTTCTTATAAAAGTATGGGAGGATTGCTTTTATTATGAAAATTTCACACATTACACGAATGGATTGTTTTTATTATGAGGAGTTTCAAATGTAAATTTTAAACATATAATATATTGACATATAAAGCATATAAAAATTTCAAACATATATGTATATAAAAGTAGAGAGAATAATGAAATGAACTTCCTTTACGCATCACTCAGATCCAACATTTATCAGAGTTTTGCCACTCTTGCTTCATCTGTACCTTTCATTATGGCTTACTGAAGTGTTATAAAGTACATTTCTGATTTGTAATTTTCACTCCTGTGCACTTCAGTGTGCATCTCTAAACAGTGTGGACATTGCTTCCATGTTCATAATGCCCCTGACACATCCTATAAATAATTCCTTGGTGTCCTATAATCTATAGTACATTTTTAGACCCATGTCAAACTTTTAAAAACTTCTGCTTTAGAGTAGTATTATTTACATATATTTTGTTTTATGCAAGACATAAACAACTAAATTGTTTGTTGCTGTTTGGAATATTTAATTAGAAACTGAAGTTGTCTATCTGATATCAAACTAGAATAAAGAAAAAAAACCCACATGTGTTTCTAAGAGGTCTAATTCTCACTGCAAATTAGAAATCAGTTATCTTAAAAAAAAAAAAAAAGAAAAGAAAAGAAATCAGTTATCTTGGGGAATCTGGGTGGCTCAGTCGGTTAAGCGTCTACCTTCAGTTCAGGTCATGATCCTGGGGTCCTGCTTCTTCCTCTCCTCCCCGCTCCTGCTCTCTCTCTCACTATCTCTCTCTCTCAAATAAATAAATAAAATCTTTGGGAAAAAAATCAGTTATCTTTCTATAGAATATCTTCCTCAATGTAAAAAAAAAATTTTTTTCTTTGGACTTCATCCCTCTATTTTCATGTATTTTTAGTTAAATCCAATTACAATCCTCCTAAAATAATTGTCTGTCTACCACTGAATATACTATTTCTTAAGATAATGTTATATAATCGGATAAGGCATAAGGTTAAAAAATTTGGGGGGCACCTGGGTGGCTCAAGTCAGTTAAGCATCTGACTTCAGCTCAGATCATGATCTCAGGGTCCTGGGATCAAACCCTGCATCGGGCTCCCTGCTCAGTGGGGAATCTGCTTCTCCTTCTGCCTCTCCCCCTGCTTGTGTGTTCTTTCTCTGTCTCTGAAATGAATAAGTAAGATCTTTAAAAAAAATTTTTTTTAAATAAAATGTTCTTAAGGACTCTAGAATAACAGTGTAATAGAGCAGAATCTCGCTAACAGCAGTGTCCAAATAACCTCAAAATATTTATTCCAACTTGCTTAATTAATTCTCCATAGGATCTGGTTGAAAATTTTGTGGTGGACCACATTTTGAAAGACATGAAAATTATTATTAAAATGTATCTTAAAAAATATACCTTAATATGCGTTTTCTCTGAATGTAAATAATCTTTATAAAAGGAGAACATAAGTTATATTAAGCTTATATTCTCTTTGTTGGAAGTCTTGAGTTTTGCAGTATAGATTATCTGTAAGAGTTTCATTAACATCAGAAGATCAGAACATTTTGACTGTGGGTGTAAGCCATGGTATTAAAGCTTATTTTGTAGACAAGACACATGCTTTATATGCTTTTGTAAGAAGCGGAATCTTTAATAGCTTCAAATCTTAAGACCCATAATAAAGAGGAAAATAAGTGAAAAGTAGAAAGGGAGACAATTTTTAGTTTCCCTCCTTCCAAATGTAAGAATATTTATTCTTTTCTAACAATGTTGATGTGTATCAATAGTTTGCACTTTTACCTTTAGGTGTCTGATTATTCCAAATGTTTGCTTTATATATGCCTTTTAGGTGCCCCAATGTGAGTCTGCAAAAGCTACCGGAGCAGTGGTTATGGGATGTTTTAGAGGAAATTAAATGCAGTGATCCTTCATCTAAACTCTGTGCTACAAGGCGCAGTGCTGGAATTCCTTTCTACATACAGGTACTAATCCATGGGACATAGCTGTTTGTCTTTTGATAATTTGTTTTATTTGTCTTGTGACAATCCCCTTGACATGTGAGTAAGCATACTGCATAAGGGACAGTTCTGTCTTTTAAGTACCATAGCGTTTGTGGCTTTGTCGTATGTGTGGACGGTGTGTTCCCGTGACAGATGTGTTCTTGGAACAAACCCTCCATGAGGTCAGTCTTGTAATGTGAACAGAGGGTGGTATAGATTTCCGCCTGGGTATTAAGTAGGCAGACATCACTGTGGCACATTCACTGCTCACTTCTAGGAAGTGTACTTGTTACCTTTTTCTTTTTGAATTAGAAAAAATAGTCTTCCTGTTACTTCAAGACCCTTAAGACTCTTCTCTGTAAGCAACCAGTAGTAACTGTTTCTTTTGAATCCTTCCATAAAATGTGTGCACAAAATAATTTTAATCTATTCTAATAGTAGCTAACATTTGTAAGTAATTTCACATATATCATCTTATTTAATCCGTCCTGAAGCCCTGTGAGATGCGTCCTTTGATCATCCGTATATTGTAGATGTAGAAACTGAGGCTTAGGAAAGTCAAGTAACTTGCCGAAAGCCCCAGAGATTGTGTGAGCAGAGCTGACTTGAAGCTCAGACAGCCTGACTGAATGGGTATGTGTTTTTTTTAATACAGAAGAAAGCATATTATACATACTGTTTTTCCCTTGCTTTTTTTCACTTAACATTATACCTTAAAGATCACTACATATCAGCACACCCAGATATTGCTAGTTGATAGGCAAATATTTTATTTCCACAGTGTTGAAATTAAGAGGCGGTCACCCTCATGAATGCAATGAATAAAAACCAAAGTCCTCACAATACTAAATCAGACCCCGATCTGGAAGGTCTTTATTTAATATTCAGTAAGATATAGTCCAGGAATGGGGGTGGTATAATAAAAGCAATGAAAATAAGTGAAATGACTTCTTTTTTTTAGTGCCCGTACCTGCATTTTTTCCTTCTTTCTCATTCCTTCCCCAAATTTCCAAAATCATCATTGTGTAATGACAGTGGGCACCACTTGCAGAGGTTGTTGATTTGATACAGAGATCATCGAGGTAGTTCTGCTGGATGGATTTTGGTGACCTTCAGAAATGAACTCTCTGATCTGACCCATTCCACATCAGTTTGGCTCATCTCCTGCCTGTAATTCATTCTGACCTAGCGTGTTTTTGCCTAATTCATCTGTCTGAGGACAAATGTTAACATGATAGCAAGGTCTAGTTGCAGGTTTGTGCCGTGTGCTTATTGCACTTCTGGTTCCCATCCATTACTAAATATTGGTCATAGTGACAGAACAATGAGGACGTGCACTTTCTTAGCCCATCCTTGGGAAGAGTATCATAACTATGCCCATGGCTCTTGACGGAACAAAAGCCATGGTTCCAAGGAGACATTTCAGTAATTGCATATGACTTTCTTATTTATGTTAGTTGAGTAAAATCTAAATTATTAGAAAAATCTGCTCAGAGATATCCCATTCCTCATAGCATAACTTACCAATAAGTTATGTTCTCATGGAAGCCTTTCCTTAGTGTTAACTATGGAGGAAAAACTGCCCTACTTAGTTTATGAACTTACCTTTTGTGCAGACAGATATGAAAGTTTTTTGAGTGGTCATTAGAAAAATAGTATATATGTTTTTTGAGCATAAATACACTATGGTAAATTTTTCTTTTAAACTTACCTATTTTGGGTGTTCCTCTTTTATGGATTATAAAAGCTTCCAAAGAACTGAGTAGCTTGAAACTTGCATTCTTGGGAGCTAGTGGCTATGTACAGATGAAATAATCCCTGCTACTCCTAGTTCTACACAACCACTAATCTATTTTCTATTTCTATAGATTTGCCTATTCTGGACATTTCATATAAATGGAATCATATAATGTGCAGCCTTCGTGTCTGGCTTCTTTCACTTAGCATGTTTCAAAATCCATCCATGTTGTAGCACATATCAGTACTTCATTCCTTTTTATTGCCTCAGGTAGTTTGATATCCTATTTTTATGTTTATTGTGTATTAGCAAAATGTTAGACACCAAGTAAATGAGCAGTTCTTGAAAACCCAATTATAGGCTGGAGTTTGTAGTATTTTCTTTTGCTCCGTGGAGTTTCCAGTGCTACAATTTGATAGTCCTCCAGGTAGAGACTCTTTAGTAAAGAACTAAATAACTGATCAATCTCTAGGGAGTTTCCAAATCCTTGCTAGAAATTTAATCCACAGGTTTTTTGTTTTTTAAGTAGAGAGAATTTTCTTGTTGGTAAATTTGTTATAAAAACTGACTTGCTTATTGTATCTGAGACCTGCCACCTAGTTATGGTCCTAAAAGAGTTGTCAACAAGAGCCATCTCTCAACCTCTTAGAATTCTATAGTTAAAAAGCAAACCTGGAAATGACTAGAGGTTCCATGATATCACCATCACCAAAGTTTTCAGATGAAGAATCCCAGGGATGGTGAGGTTAAGCTACTTGCCCAGGGCCACATGGCTTAATTAACTTACTTGATACCACATGTTTTTATAGGGGGATTTTTGCATTTTGGGATTGATTCTGGGAAGTAGCAAATAGTAAAATGTAAAATCAGAGCCCCGTTGATTTTTGCCTTGTTTTTCTATAGGCGCTATTGGCATCTGAACCTAAGAAAGGCAAAATGGATTTGTTGAAAATAACAATGAAAGAGTTAATCACATTGGCTGGGCCTACAGATGACTCACGGAGCACAGTCTCCCAGGTAATAATGGAACTATACAAAGCCTGCTAGGAAGGCAGTGATTTTAAATCTTTGCTGTACCAAAAGGGTACGGAATTCTTGAAAATAGGGCAGGTATTTGAAGCTTGATCTGGATATTTTGTTTCTTTTGTTTTGTTGGCCTTTCCTGTCCATAAAATAAATCATTGCTTTAGTTGATAGGTATTAACCAGAATGAACTATTTTTAAACTCTTGTGAAAACATCCAATTTAGATATTTTATAATACTGCTCTTGCACCTAAAATTTTTTAAATGAATGTGCACTTTAAAATTTCATGTGTGCTTCTTTGAGTTGATACACATTTTGTAATTCAGTAGCTGATCTTTCCCTAAAATGAAGTGTCTAACTTTTGGTATATTCATTTTTTAATTTTAGCTAATATTTAGTCTCTTTTAGTCACTGCTGCACCTGGGTTAAGTGCGTGTGAGTGTGAGTGTGTGTGTATGAGTGAGAAGTTGGGGTAAGTAGTCCTCATAGCTCCACTCCACTCCATAATAGTAAATACCTTCAAGTACATTTTGTCTAGGCTTTCTCAGTAAATGCTTTATAGTAGGACTTTCCTGCCCAACTGTAGGACGCCCAGGCTAGGTCAGGGAACAGAAGAGCTGACGCATCAATCAAGTACCATACAAACATACATGGTTTTATTTCAGAGCCTGTGGGAGGTGTCAAAGGGGAGCCCATGGGCCAGAGTGTGACTAGTGGAAAAGGATGGGGTTTATTAGCATACGGCACTTTCTGGCTTGTGACTATAATATGTGAAGTTTCCTTATTTATCTCAAACTTTTAAAGTGTCACTAATCACCTTTCAGAAATGATCAGTTTTAGATTTTATTCCAGCAAAATATGAAAAATATAATTTGGTTCCATTTTCCTAGACTCTTACTTAAAGTGCTATTTTTTTTTATTAAAGATTTTATTTATTTGACAGAGACACAGCGAAGGAGGGAACACAAGCAGGGGGAGTGGGAGAGGGAGAAGCAGGCTTCCCGCTGAACAGGGAGCTCGATGCGGGGCTCGATCCCAGGACCCCAGGATCATGACCTGAGCTGAAGGCAGACGCTTAACAACTGAGCCACCTAGGCGCCCCTTAAAGTGCTATTTTTTATGAGAACATCTAAAAATAATGGAGTTTGATTTTAGAGTGTTGGATAATTATTGTCCTACTCTGCTTCAAGATCATTCATGGCATTTTAGTGATCATTTTTATTAAATTGGTAAAATTTAAAATTTTGTCTCTGACCAGTCTTCTAGGCGTTAGTTGATAATTTGTTTTCCTTCTCCCCTTTTGTGGTATATTTCTTATTATTTTTATTAGGTATCTGTGAAACATTTCAGCATGTAAAAATGTACAGTGAACGATGAACATCTGTGAAACCAATTCCAACCTGAAGAAGTAAAACATTGCTGATAGAATTACATGCACTGTGGCCTCCTTTGCATCCTGTGCCCCTTTCTTCCCCCTCAGCTATAATCACTAATCCAAGTTTTTCTGTGCACGTTTTTCATTCTTTTATGACTTTTTTTTTTTAAACATAAATGGTATTATCTATACATCGTTTTATAGTTTGGGTGTTTACAATAAACATTATTTTCAAGGTGAGTGAGCTTAAGGTTTTTTTTTTAAGATTTATTTATTATCTATCTATCTATTTATTAATTTATTTATTTTAGAGAGAGTGTGAGCAGGGAGAGGGACATGGGGGAGGGAGAGGGAAAGGGAGAGAGAATCTGAGGCCGACTCTGTGCTGAGCATGGAGCCTGTTGCGGGGCTCGATCCCATGACCACAGATCATGACCTGAGCCAAAACCAAAAGTCAGACATTTGACTGAGCCACCCAGGTGCCCCAAGTTCATTGTAATTTCTGAATGGTGTTTCATTGTACATGGTTTCTGCCTTTCTGCTTCACGTGAAATGGCACTTCCCAGTTTTATTTCACATTTCTCTGATACCTGGCTAGCTTTAACATTTTTTCATGTTTCATGGATTACTTCTGTGAATTGCCCATTTAAAGACTTTTTAGCTGCCTTTAACTTGGTTGTCTTTGTCTTGTGGGAGTTGGGGTTTTTGCTGTTTTAAAATGATTTTCCTGGGGCACCTGGGTGGCTCAGTCAGTTAAGCATCTGCCTTCAGCTCAGGTCATGATTTCAGGGTCCTAAGATCAAGCCCTGCATTGGGCTCCCTGCTCAGGGGGGCATCTGCTTCTCCATCTCCCTCTGCACCCCCATCCCCCGCTCCTGCTCTCTCTGTCTCCCAAATAAATAAATTTTAAAAATCTTTAAAAAAATGATTTTCCTGATAACAATATTCCTTTTTGGTTATTTGAATTACACATACCTTCTCCCAATCTGTAGTTTCTCCTTTCACTTTGCTTTTGCATAGAAGTTTTACATTTTAATCAAGTGGAGTATATCAGCTTTTTTTTTTATGGTTTGTGGATTTGGATCTTGTTTAAAATACCCCAAGGTCAGAACGATATTTTATATTTTCTTTTTAAAGTTTTAGAGTTTTACTTCTCACATTTCTGTCTCTACACCACCTGTAATTTGTGTGTAAAATAAGAAAAAAATATTATTTTCCATTTGGATAATTAATATACAAGCATTTTTGATATAGGCTGTCCTTTCCCCTTGATTTATGACACCCTTCTATCTTTCATGTACTGTTTGTGTGCTCTATTTTATTGGTCTGTTAGTCTACCCCTGAGCCAAAGTCACTGTTTTAATTACTATCTTTTTAATAAGTTTTGGTATCTGGTAGGGTGAATCTCCCTTTTTTTCCTTTGGAATTATCTTGGCCATACTTATTCCATTGCATTTCCATATAAGTTATAGAATCAGCCTGTTAAGTTCAACAAAACTCCTTTTTGAATTTTGGTGGGAATTTAAATTTATTGATTTGTTTGGGAAAAATGACTTTGTGCTGAATATAAGCACAACAATAACCAAAAAAATTAATTGCATTTATACACACTAGCAACATACAGTATGATCTTTAAAATACCATTTACAATCGCTAGAAAAACTATAAAATGTGTAGAATTAAATTTCACAAAAGATCTATAGGACTTTTATAGAAAATTATTCTTAAAAATAATGAAAGACATGCAAGAAGATCTGAATAAATGGAGAAAAAAGCCATGCTCATGGACTGGAAGATTCAATATAAAAAAAGAAGTCATGTCAACAATTGCTATACTACAAGTAATGACTTATATGTGAATTCTTTTGGATTTTCTTTATGGATAGTCATATGCTCAGTGAATAATGCTAAATATGTTTTACCTTTCTAATTCTTATTCATAGAACATTTTTCTTATTCTGCTGGCTGGAACTTGTAGTATGGTTTGTATAGAAATGGAGATAGCAGGTGGTCTTGTGTTGTTTCTGATATTTGCTGTAGGTTTAAATCTATCTTATATCTCATTGAGGAAATCAAATTTTATTGAAGGCTTTCGAGTGTCTTTTGAGATGTTTCTTTTTAGAATTTGCAAATATGACTATATTGATTTCTCATACAGTGCCATCTTTGCATACAGACCAAAGCCACAACTTTGACATGTTGAAATTTTTTTTACACATTGCTAGATTCACTTAAAAAGTTTTTTAAAAACATTTTTTACATATTTTCACTGGATTCATAAATGAGATTGGCCTGTGGTTTTCCTTTTTCATGCTGTACCTGTCCTTATTTTTTATGTAAAATTTTTATTGAATTGTAACACTACAAAGACATATAAATCATATGTGCACCATAGTAAAGTTTCACGAGGTGAACACACTTGTGTGTACAAGAGAAAGAACATTTTAGTACCTGAAAGCCTCCTCATGCTTCCTTCCTTCTCATCAGTACCTTTTCCCTAAGGGTAACCACTAGCCTAACTTTAACACCTTAGTTTTAGTTTTACCTGTTTTTTAAAAAATTTTAAATAAATGAAACCATACATTATATACTCTTTTGATATGGTTTATTTTGACCAATGTTATGTTTTTTTAAATAATTTTTTATTGTTATGTTAATCACCATACATTACATCGTTAGTTTTTGATGTAGTGTTCCATGATTCATTGTTTGTGTATAACACCCAGTGCTCCATGCAGAATGTGCCCTCTTTAATACCCATCACCAGGCTAATCCATCCCCCCACCCCCCTCCCCTCTAGAACCCTCAGTCTGTTTTTCTGAGTCCATCGTCTCTAATGGTTCGTCTCCCCCTCCGACTTACCCCCCTTCATTCTTCCCCTCCTGCTATCTTCTTCTTCTTCTTTTTTTTTTTCTTAACCTATATTGCATTGTTTGTTTCAGAAGTACAGATCTGTGATTTAACAGTCTTGCACAATTCACAGCGCTCACCATAGCACATACCCTCCCCAATGTCTATCACCCATCCACCCCATCCCTCCCACACCCCACCACTCCAGCAACCCTCTGTTTGTTTCCTGAGATTAAGAATTCCTCATATCAGTGAGGTCATATGATACATGTCTTTCTCTGACTGGACCAATGTTATGTTTATGGTATCCATCCAAATTGTGATTTATTCATTTTCATTGCTATATAATATTATATAACTTCTTCATCTGTTGATGAACATTTGGGTAGTTTTTTAATTTGGGTTATTAAGAATAGTATTTTTACAAACATTCTGGTACATGCCTAATGGTGAACATATATGTACATTTCTTTTCAGTAAATACCTAGGAGTGGTTATTGGGTATGTTGTATATTAGGCTTTAGTAGATTTTACCATTTTCCCAAAGTAGTTGTCCTTACCTTATATTTATAGCCAGGCTATGCTAGACTGATAAAATAAATTTGGAAGTCTTTTCTTCTCTAAATAGTTTATGTAAATTGGGATTATCTATTCTTTGAATATTTGGTAGCATTCATACATAAAATCATGTGCGTCTATTTTTTGGTAATTGTTGTAGTTATTAGGTTGGGTTTTTTTGTTTTTGTTTTTGGTCTCTGGGTAGGATTTTTATCTATTGATTTCCTTTGTGTAATGCTAACATCTATCTAGCTTTTTAATTTCTCTTTGGATTTGTTTTGATAAATTCTATTTCCTGGGAAATTGTTCATTTTTACTTAATTTTTCAAATTGATTAGGGTAGTATTGTTCATAGTAATATTTTTGCTTTATTCTCTGGTGTATCTGTAGTAATGTCATATTCATGATACTGCTTATTTTCTTCTCTCTTTTCTTGGTTAGTCAGAGGTTTGTTTCTATTTCAAAGTATCAACCCTGGGTTTTGTTAATGGTCTTGTTTATGTCATTGCTTTTTTCAAATTTTCTGCTCTTTTAAATTTTCTTTCTCTGTTTTGAATTTATTGTTCTTTCTCTGTCATCTTAATTGGACACTTAGCATATCTTTTTAGTCTTTTTTTTTTTTTTTAAGATTTTATTTATTTATTTGACAGAGAGACACAGTGAGAGCAGGAACACAAGCAGGGGGAGTGGGAGAGGGAGAAGCAGACTCCCCGCTGAGCAGGGAGCCCGATGCGGGACTCGATCCCGGGACTCCAGGATCATGACCCGAGCCGAAGGCAGTCGCTTAACCAACTGAGCCACCCAGGCGCCCTAGTCTTTTTTTTAATAGAAGCATGTAAGGCATGCATTTCTTTTAAGTTCTACTTACAGTGCATCTCACAAATGTTGGTGTGTAGCATCTTGGTTGTTATTCAGCCTTAAATATTAAAAAAAATTTTTCTTTGACCAGTGTTTTTAAAAAGTATCAGTTTTAGGGCCCCTGGGTGGCTCAGTTGGTTGGGCGACTGCCTTTGGCTCAGGTCATGATCCTGGAGTCCCAGGATCGAGTCCTGCATCGGGCTCCCTGCTCGGCAGGGAGTCTGCTTCTCCCTCTGACCCTCCCCTGTCCCATGCTCTCTCTCTCTATCTCATTCTCTCTCTCAAATAAATAAATAAAATCTTAAAAAAAAAAAAGTATCAGTTTTAAACATATTTAAAGAAATCAGTTTCTAACTTAATTCCACTGTAATCAGAGCATAGTCTGTAAGATTTTAATTATTCGGTATTTGTTGAGATTTTATTTGTGGCTAGGTTTGAAGTGATTTTTAAAAATAAATGTTTCATGTGTACTCGAAAAGAACACGTTGTCTCTACTTGTTAGGTGCAGGATTCTGCTTATGTCCATTGGATCAAGCTTTTTTTATTGCATTGTTCAAATCTTACTTTAAAATAAATTGATTTATCAGATAATAGTTATTTTATTAAAATCTGCTCTTTCATTTGTGGATTGTCTATTCTTGTAATTCAGTAATTTTTTTTTTTTTATTTTGAGATTAACTACAAGAACTGTACAGATTTAGAATTACCGTGGTCTTCAACCCACAACTAATTTTCAGATTTTTATTCTAGGTTCATGCTTTAAATATCCTTAGAGCCTTGTTCAGAGATACACGTCTGGGAGAAAATATTATTCCGTATGTTGCTGACGGAGCTAAAGCTGCAATTCTAGGCTTTACATCACCAGTCTGGGCAGTAAGTGCTTTTGCCATTTTTATTCATTGACTTAATTATACATCTGAGTAGGTTTTAATAAACTACTTTTTATCTTTTTTGTTGGCTTTTTAGCCATACCTCTTTGTTTTCTTATTTAAGTGATTGCTTTAGAGGTTTTAGCATATATCTTTAGCATCACAGTCAACCCTCAAGTGGTATTATATCTCTTCAGTTGAAGTATAAGACTTTATAAGAACCTAACAATATATACTTCCATTTCTCTCCTCCCAATCTTTGTGGTTTTTTTTTAAAGATTTTATTTATTTATCTGAGAGAGAGAGAGAGAGATCACAAGCAGGCGGGAGGGGTAGAGGGAGAAGCAGACTCCCCACTGAGCAGGGAGCCTGGGACTTGATCCCAGGACCCCAGCCGAAGACAGACGCTTAATGACTGAGCCACCCAGGCGCCCCAATCTTTGTGCTTTTATTACACATTTTACTTTTATGTGCATTATACACCCATACTACATTGTTATTATTTTTGTTTAAACTGTCATTTATTCCTTTTTTAAAATTTACCATTTTAACCATTTGAAAATGTATAGTTCAGGGGCATGAAGCGCATCTGCAGTGTTGTGTGGTCATCCCTGCTATCCATTTTCAGAGCTTCTTCATCATTCTAAACATGAGCTCTGTATCTGTTGAGCAGTCACTCCTCCTCTCTCTCTTCCCTCTGCCCATGGTAACCTCTGTTCTACTTTCCAGATTCTATGAATTTGCCTGTTGTAGGTACCTCGTAAGTGAAATCATAGGATGTTAGGCTTTTTGTATCTGATTATTTCACTTAGCATAGTGTTTTCAAGATAGTGTGTGTCATAATTCCATTCCTTTTTAAGGCTGAATGATACACCATTGTGTGTATGTTTGACCTTCTGTTTACCCATTCATCTGTTGATAGGCATTTAGATTGTTTCTTTTTGGCTTCTGTGAATAATGTTGTAATGAACATTGTTATACGGTTACTGAGTTTCTGATTTCAATTCTTTTGTGTATATCATATGGTAATTCTATGTTTAACATCTTGAGAAACAGCCAAACTGTATTCCGCAGTGGCAGTGCCATTTTATACTTTTATCAGCAATGCACAAGAGTTCCATTTTCCTTACGTCCTTGCCAACACTTGTTATTTTCTCTTCCGTTTTTTGTTTTGTTTTGTTTTTTGATGATAATAGCCATCCTAATGGGTGTGAAGTAGTATCTCATTCTGGCTTTGGTTTGCATTTCCTTGCTGGTCAATGATGTTGAGCTAGAAGCAGAACAACTCTTAGTATTTTAATATGTCTTTCTTTTGGATGCTGTGGGCTCTGGGTATCAGAGTGTTGAGTAAGTGCTGTAAATACACTCTGTCACAAGGTTAAAAAAGAAACAACAAAAACAGAGGTGCCTGGGTGGCTCAGTTGGTTAAGCATCTGCCTTTGGCTCAGGTCATGATCCTGGGGTCCTGGAATCGAGTCCCACATCAGGCTCCCTGCTCAGTGGGGAGTCTGCTTCTCCCTCTGCCTCTACCCCCCACCCGCCCCCACTGGTGCTCTGTCTCACTCACTCTCTCAAATGAATAAATAAAATCTTAAAAAAAAAAAGATAAAAAACCAAGTTAAAAAACCCAAAGTATTAAAATGGAGGAGGTTAAATATTGAGTCGCCTTTTTTTTTTTTTTTTTTTTTGGCAATATGATCACTGTCCAGAAACTTTTGGACTCAGAACACTAAAGATAGTGGACAGTACCCAGGATAGTACTTGTTGGATTTAAGAAGGTCAGCTTTCATGATTCTTGGGAGAAGCACCATGATTTTACTGTTTTCCTTCCAGAATAAAAGAGACTAACCTGTGGCTTGTGAGTGCTTGACATGTGGTTTAAAAAAAAAAAAAAAAAGACTGGCAATGGGAGAAGAGGAAAGAAGCTAGACCTTAATACATTGCCTGTAGAATGGAGAATTTGCTAGAAAGGCAGGCGTTCCAGTCAGTGATCTGCACAAACCATTTTATAACTTTATGATAAGCCTCTAATTGAGGGTCAATATATGGTAGTATAGCTAAAGGCACAGACTTCCAACGTAAAGAGGAATCTTCAAGGTTGCCAACTTCTGCCTGGAAAATTGTGCATCTTCCTGTAAGAAAGACAAATGTCTAAAATCCTGTCTAGGAGCATTGCCTAACTACTCCCGAGGACACAGTGTTTACCTTCTGCATTTACAGGAAGCAGAGCAATACCTGTGTACCTTTGGTAGAGTCATAGAGGTAGGAATGTGGCTTGACCATCCGGAAAACTAGAGATCATAAAACTGATTGCCAGAAATATCAATATTGTTTTCTTTAAGTCATAAATTCAGGATGAACAAAGAAATGCTTTCAGAGAATGAAACCTGGTGACTTTTCCAACATTTTAGCAAAACTGAAAGTATCAAAAAAGAGTGGCCTCATTTTTTAAAAAAATCTTTTTGAGACCTTTTAAAACAGTAACACGTATACTGCAGAAATTTTGAAAATAAAGAAAAGCATAAAAAGAAAAGTGAAAGTCACCTGTTTAACTACCATATAGATATAATCATTATTAGCATTCTGATGTATTTTCTGCCTTTCTTTTAATGTGGGTTCTGTATGTGTGTAGTACTCAGATACACACATATATCCACAAAAGACTGCATAAAAATATATAAGTACTCGTGTAGTTTTATTTTCGGGAATCTTCCGTATTAACACTGGTTTTGAAGGAATCTTTTTGGTTCTTTTCAGTTTGCTGTACTAGAGGAAATAAACATCATAGCTCTAATGATCAATCCTATGACTTTAATATATTGATTGTTATATTTTTTTCCTTATAAAAACTTAATCTGAGATATGCCAAAATTATAAATCAACATAATCAGTGAATGTGAAGAGGGCTTCATTTTAAAACAAGCCCGCTTCGCTTCGGGCTCCCTGCTCAGCGGGAAGCCTGCTTCTCCCTCTCCCACTCTCCCTGCTTGTGTTCCCTCTCTTGCTGTCTCTCTGTCAAATAAATAAATAAAATCTTTAAAAAAAAAAACAATTAAAATTTACAACAGTTTAAAGCAGCTTACCACAGGATGCTCTGTTGAGGTCATTTTAAGAGTGATTTTTCCTGAACGCGTGTGAAGTGTGGGTTAGTTTACAGAAACCTAATTTGTGTACATCTTCTCAGGAATGGATCTTGTGCCTAAAGGTCACTACATCTGTACTTTTTTTTTTTTTTAAGATTTTATTTATTTATTTGACAGAGAGAGACACAGTGAGAGAGGGGACACAAGCAGGGGGAGTGGGAGAGGGAGAAGCAGGCTTCCCGCCGAGCAGGGAGCCCGATGCAGGGCTTGATCCCAGGACCGTGGGATCATGACCTGAGCCGAAGGCAGACGCTTAACCGACTGAGCCACCCAGGTGCCCCATTACATCTATACTTCTGACTTAACTGTTTCTCCATGCTGGAGAGGAAAAAAAACACACACACAAATAAAATTAACTTAATTTTAATTTTGCAGTAAAGGAACATTTTTCCAGCAAGCATCCATGTATAATTTTATTTGTTTCCTCAGTCTTTTGTATTGAGACCATGTAAGTTTTTCTGTCTTTGCCACCTGTTGGACATTTTTAAAATATAGGGGTAAGGTATTGTTGTAAACATATTAGGCATTAGGAACACCTACTGTGTTGCAGATGATATATTAAACACTAGAAATACAGGGATAAATAAGACATAATCATGATAATGGCTGTCTTGTTGAAGATTTTCTGTGTGCCTGGTGTCATTTATTTTGATAATCTCAGTTAATGCTCAGAACAGCCTTGTAAAGTAGATTCTATTATTATAATCCTCATTTACAGATAAAGAAGATAAGGCTCAGAGAGGCAAAATAACTTTGTCTAAGGACATACAGCTATTATCTGTCTGACTCCAGAATCAATTTATTATAGCGGAAAGGTTTTGGTGTTATAGGAATACAGAGAAGGTGTGTTTTACCTACCTTGTAGGGTTTTGGCCCTGTTCCTTAGGAAACAGAGCTGGAAGTATAATCTGGGTGCTAAGGTTTTATTGAATGATACAAACCCACAGCAGCAAGAATGAAGGAAAAAAGAGAAGAGGTGAGACAAGGAAAGAGGAAAGGCATTACTGAACAGGTCTTGACTTTGCAGGAAAACTGAACTAGTTGTCTGGTCATGTGATAGATCTTCTAGCCAGGCCATGTGAAACTACCACCTCTTGGAACAGTCCCATATCCTTTCTCTTACTGTCAAGGGTTAACACTTGGGGCATTAACACAACTTGGGCAGGGGTTGGCACAACCCTTGGGCAGCTGCGAGAGAAGGCAGTTCCCATGCCCTGTGATGTAGCATCTCATCTGAGTTTGGAAATGGCTGGATGAGCCACAGCCTCCATGGGTATAGTTGGGACAGACCCGGGGTTTTAAACTATGGCTCCCACTGCTGTAGAAAAACCCTTGATGACAGAGTTTCTCAGTAGGGGAGTGATGGCATCTGATCAATGTAGTTAAAAAATGGAAACTCAATTGTAAGGTGGCAAGACTTAAAGGGAAGGAGGAAGACTAATCAGGAAGCTATTGTAGTTCTGCCAAGAGATGATGATGGCTCAGAATGGAAAAATATTAGTAAAAATGGTGACACGTGATGATCTTTGATATGTATTTTAGAGATGAAGCTAGTTAAGTTAAAGAGACTGAGTGGCTCAGTCAGTTAAATGTCTGCCTTGGGCTCAGGTCATTATCCCGGAGTCCTGGGATTGAGCACCAGATTGGGCTCCCTGCTTAGCGTGGAGTCTGCTTCTCCCTCTGCCCCTGCCCCTCGCTTGTGCTCTCTTTCTCAAATAAATAAATAAAATCTTAAAAAAAAATTTAGGTAAGGGTAATTTACAGGTACATATATGGGAACCAAGACATTTCTGGGCAGTCCCCTTTTTTTTGTTCAGTGACTAGAAAACCTGATCTTTCCTTGCATCCTCATTGCAGGGCA